AGCCATTAGACCAGCTAGGAATTTTTAAAAAACCCACACATCCAAGTAGAAAGGAGGCTGTAAACTCTCCAGTGAGACTGGAAATATTGACAGGAAGCTTTTTTCTTTGCATGGGAAATAAACCAGATATTTGGGGTGACATATCAAAGCACAATAGCCCCTAGGATTGTGTGAATTGTGTTGCAAGATTTGACAAGCCTGCAGAAAATCAAAAGGTATTTGGAAAGGATTGTCATCTGCAGATGTTTTGGTTTGACTAGGAACAGTCCGTAATACCATGACTCAGCCTTCTGGCCTGACGTGTCACCAACCTGAAGGTCTGCGCTTGGTTTTGAGGTCTTAAAAAGTGTAGAAATGAAAAACTTCTATAAAATCAGTGCAAAAATGGAAATGTGAATCATGTAGTTGAAAGCAATATCAAACTGGTTCTTCAATTTGTTTTAAGTTATAAGAGAAAAGACTTGGGTGACATCTACAATGTCGAATGAATACAGTTTGCCAGTGCTTTAACTGCCATGGCTCAGTGTTATGGAATCATAGGATTTGTAGTTTTACAAGGTCTTTTTCCCAAAAATGCCAGTGCCTCCTCCAGTTACAACTCATAGTATTCCATAGCACTTGTATATGCACCCTTGGAAAAGAACATAGATGGTTGGCATCTGGATATATGACTGTTGGAGTTAACAAGCTTTCCAAGCCTATACTCACCCATTACTGGTTTGCATGTTACGCTTCAGGAATTTAGACACTGGTGGCAACCTGTTTCCTTTCAACATACCTTCTGTCTTTCTGCATCACTCAAATCTGCAGTCATTTTCTTCTCACTCTCCTCCATGAGACGTATGTCTAATTATTCACAGTTATCTATAAGTAAAGATAAGTTCACTGGTTAAACGAAGACTAAGGTTGCTCATTTCTCTTTTAGACCCTGTGTATACATGAGTGGGACAGGTTGTTGTTCAGCTTCTGCCTTACCAATATGATTACTCTCCTTGAGAGATCATCCCCCCCCCCCCCCCTCATTTCCCAACAATAACATCACTAGGAGACATTGGAAGATCTGTAGTAGTCACTAGCTATTAAGATAAGTGTGTACAAAATTATTATTACTTAATAAGTATGAATAATTGGGAACTTGTGGTGGCATATTTAAGAGAATATTGGAATAGGCCACCATTCATAGTTTTTGAAGAATAGTAGATATTACAAGTAGAAAGAAGCTTATACCATCCAGTCTAAAGGATAAATAAGATATTTATAATAGAGGAAGTTGATTAAACAAATACTGCCATCATCTGGGTGAGTGGAAGCCTTGTTTGGCCCCTTCCCCCCCTTTTTTTCTTCCTTTTTTAACTTTTAGTATGATTTGGTAGTTCATGCTTGTTAATGTCCTTTGCCCGACTGCTCTTTGGAGGGAAGGATAGTAGAGGCAAAGATGAAGTACTTTGGCCACATAATGAAGAGACAGGAAAGCTTAGAGAAGAGAATGATGGAAAAGGGAAGGAAAAAGGAAGAGGGGTCGACCAAGGGCAAGATGGAAGGATGGGATTCTTGAAAAGACTGGATTGACCTTGAAGGAGCTGGGGGTGGTGATGGCCAACAGGGAGCTCTGGCGTGGGCTGGTCCATGAGGTCACAAAGAGTCGGAAATGACTGAATGAATGAACAACAACAACAATAACAATGTCCTTTGCAGTTAATATGTATTACCCCATGTATTGGTTTTTAAAAGTTTTATCTATGAGGGAAGGGGTGCACAATTACTATTGTTAAATAGCATGCAATTATACTATTTATTGCCTGACTTCATTGCAGTCACTGGTGCTATTCAGGTTTTCATATTATTATTATTATTATTATTATTATTATTATTATTATTATTATTATTATTATTATTCCCCAATAGAAACAATAAAGAGTGCAGTATAAAAATGTTATTTCATACATGTGCTTTAATAAAAAATATTTTTAAAAGAATTATGAAAGTGATACTTACTTACTTACTTAGGCGATCCCTCGTAGCCTGAGGATGATGGCCCTCCAAGTGTAGTGTCTTGGCAATGGGTCCGTAGGTGGCTGTGGAGCTCTATTCATGACCCGCATGTTCACCTGCAGTGAGGACATTGGTTTCCAGATGGAAGGCGGTCCCAGTCAGGTTTGGCTTGATACTCCTTTCTCTTGGCACATTTCTTCCTTTTGCTCTTCATTCGTACCTCTTCGAATTTTTCAGTACTGCTGGTCACAGCTGACCTCCACTTAGAACTCTCAAGGGCCAGGGTTTCCCAGTTCTTTATGTCTATGTCACAGTTTTTAAGGTTGGCTTTAAGCCCATCTTTAAATATCTTTTGATGTCCACCAATATTATATTTCTAGTTCTTGAGTTCGTAGTATAATAACTCCTTTCGGAGACAGTAATTGGGCATTCAGACAACGTGGCCAGTCCAATGGAGTTGGTGGTGTAGGAGCATTGCTTCAATGCTGGTGGTCTTTGCATCTTTCAGCAGGCTGACATTTGTCTTCCTGTCTTCCCAAAAGATATGCAGGATTTTTGGAGGCAATGCTGATGGAATCGTTCCAGGAGTTGAGAGTGATGTCTGTAGACAGTCCATGTTTTGCAGGCATATAGCAGGGTTGGGAGGACAATAGTTTTATAAATAAGCACTTATCTCCCCAAGGATGTCCTGGTCCTCAAACACTCTCTGCTTCATTCAGAAAAACGCTGCACTTGCAGAGCTCAGGCAGTGTTGTATTTCAGTGTCAATGTTGACTTTTGTGGAGAGATGTCTGCCAAGGTCGCGGAAATGGTCAACATTTTCTAATGTTACACCATTAAGCTGATGCATATAGTAGGAGAAATGAGTACAAGAATGCATATTGGGAAAATAGCTTGCATGTGTTTAAAGAAATATGTCCAAAAATACTTTTTAAAATGCATTTTCCATAACGTATCATTGTTTTGTACACACTATTGGCTTGGAGAATTGCAATGTAAAACTTGGAGATAATTTCCCTGTGTGTATTAGATAGAAAGTATGGTTAAAGTTGGTTATATAAAAATGCAACCCACCAAATGTATTCCCTTACACCCGTCATAGCTCTTTATATGTATAGCACCACCACCACCTCACAGAGGGTGATGAAAACATTTTACAACAGGACATAAAAGAAAAGAAAACAATACATTATTTAATTTCATGATTTATTTTGTTTGAAGTATGTGTGCCCTGCTAGACACACGGAGTGGCTGGCATACAAATAAAAGCAACTTTATGAACAGCTTACTGATGACGGGTGTTTGCATTCCAGTTCAGCAGAAATGGGGAGTAAAGAAGTCTGTTTTGCATCTGACCTCTATTACTGCAGAGCTGCTGTTTCACCAACAAAGTGGGACCCTGTTAGCGGTAACACCTGGCTGATTTGTTGATTGGAACCAGCTGTTCCTGCCTCCCTTAACTATCCACAGTGAAGAAAAGTTGGGGACTTGTAGAGAACTAGTTCCTGCAAAGATAAACCTGAAGAAGACTCTCATGTCAGGTTGCCAATTCAAGGAGAAAGAAGGGTAGGGTGGGAGGGTAGCACTATTGTAATTGAAAATTGGAGAGCATTTGAGGAGGGGGCAAGAACTTAGGGAGACCTAAGTTCCCATTATTCTATCTATCTATCTATCTATCTATCTATCTATATTCGGCCCTTCTTCTCACCCCGCAGGGGACTCAGGGCGGATCACAATGCACATATACATGGCAAACATTCAATGCCATAGACACACAACATATATAGACAGAGACACAGAGGCTATTTAATTTTCCAGCTTCATGAGGGTATGCTTTCTTGAATCTCAGCCACTGGGGGAGCTGTTGCTTTACCATCCACTTGTGACACCGATGGAGTACTTTCTCATTCTTTGCACACTGCTGGACAGTTTCATGGTGTTGCAAATTAGTTAAAATAGCCTCCCTGCATAAGTGGTACCTAAATTTCCTACTTGACAGATGCAACTGTCTTTCGGGCTGCAAAGGTCAACAGCAAGCTAGACAAATGGCCAGAAGCTCACTCTGACCCAGGCTGGCTTCGAACTCATGACCTCTCAGTCAGTAGTGATTTTAATGCAACTGACTCCCAACCAGCTGCACCACAACCTGGTCCTTAACATTGAGATTGGGAATTGACTCAGCTAGAGGTTGTCTTCAGAATTGCTGAGAGAGATAGAAGAGATCTCAAAGGAGACAGGTGAGCCCTGTAGGACCTAAACATGAGAAAGAGCGTCCTGATTATAAGATATGTGCATTTTCATACATACATATCATACCATAAATAGCTGAAGTCCTTGATCACATGATAAATCTTTATGAACCAGCATTGAGAAAATATAAGATTTTTTTCCCATTTGGTTTCTAGTATCCTACTGCAAACTGTTTCAGATGATTCATTGGTTAGGAAAAACAAATCAAATGTGTCTTTGATTTTAATTTTGATCATTATTTTAAGTAAAAGGCTTTTTTTAAAAAAAAACCTGCAAATAGCCATCAAAAGAAGCATTTTCCATATGTGAAAAAGGAATGTCTCTTCAAAGAGCAAACTTGCAGTGACACATACATGTGTTAGCTAAATATAAAGTATCTCTTTTATGCAAATGTATATCTCTTATTTATTGCTTAGTCAATTTATAGTTTATTTTAAAATAGAGTCAGTACTCAGTGTCCATAGATTCAACCAACCAGTGCTCAAAACTATTGGAGGAGGGGGAGAGATTCATAAAGGAAATCTTGGTTTGGCTTTGTGCTAAGTAATACATTGATATGCAGATATAAACTTTACTGTACCATTATATACAATAGGGCTTGAGCATCCATGAAATTTGGTATCCACATGGGGTCCTGGAACCAAACTCCAGCAGATATTGGGATCCCACTATACATATGATTATGGGTGTTGAGTGACCTGACATACAAATAATACATTGTTTCCCTCTTCTTCTTTTTTCTCTGTTCCTATTTTTAGGATTGATGGACACTGCTTATGAATCAGGAAGTATTTAAACACACTTGTAAGTACTAGATGGAGATCCTACCCCACTGAACAGCAACTTCCATCAAGTACTTCATGAGCATCCTCAGTGAGTAAAATTAAAATTCTTCAATATTTTTATATATGGCGATGGATGGATGACTATCAAATCCCAGTAATTTTTTCTTGAAATCAACTAATGCTTTGGATATCTCAGATTTTAGTTATGCAATCAGTCCATCAGAGCAAAATGCGTGGTTGTGACACTGCATTACTTGGGTGAGAATCAATGACATAGGGCTCAACCCAGTTATTAGTGCCAAATAGAACAGACTTCTTAATCAATTAGAACTTGACAAGTCAACACCTTAAGTTCCATTGCTTGAATGAGTTTGGTCTACTTGGTACTAACAATAGGATTTAGGGCCAAGCTGCAATCTATTGTGAGATTAAGTAACTAAGGAAGGTTTTATCTTCTATTTGTGAACTGTGGCATGTGAGTTTCTGGAAAATTACTTGGCATGTACCTTTTACTGTAGGTTGTCTGGTGCCAAGGTAGTCTATTGAGATCATAATTACCAGTCCAGTTTTATTTCTACTTGGTTAATGATATTCTGAGATCTTTCAAGGGTTTTGGAAAGGACACCATAAAGTAACAAAGGAAGAATGTTGTCGACCAAAAGCATATGACTTGGAATTGTAAAATTTCTGCTCAGAAGTACAATGTGACCTTGCTCGTATTGTGGACTTGTCTATCCATTTACTCCTCCAACCAGACAACATGCCTACTCAGATAACATTACTTGTTCTAGGGTTGAATCCACGAATAGTAGCTACTGCAATATCTCTCTATCTTGCTCCATGGAACAACAGATGGAGTCAGAACTACTAAACCACATATAAAATGTGATAATTCACCAGAATGATACCAGTTTCAGAGCTAAAATGTCTTCTGATGCTCGGGTTGGAGTCTGGAGCTAAGAGCTGGAACCTAGTACACAAAGGCACATTGGTGGTACAAATATTATGGTTTGTGGTGCTTTGCGAGACATAAAATAGCACTTGAATTGTCAAGGGAAGACCTTGGGTGTGTGCTGGAAAGGCTCAGGGAGAGAAGAGTGAATATAGAACATGAATGCTGTCACCTTCACCCAGGTTTCACATGATTCTCTCCAGAATTCAGTGGTTCTCAAACTGGAGTCCCCAGATGCTTTTGGCCTACAACTCCCAGAAATCCCAGCCAGTTTACCAGCTGTTAGGATTTCTGGGGGTTGAAGGCCAAAAACATCTGGGGACCCCAGGTTGAGAACCACTGCTCCAGATGGTTTGTAGTACAGCTCCCATCATCCAAGAAAAGAAAGCCATACTGGGGCTGGGAACAGTTATTGTTCTATCGACAAAAGTATGATAGCTGGAACCCTACACTGGTTGCGTACTGCGGGGCAGAATTCATGAAGGGAAGACGTATGTGAGACAGCGCAGCGAGTGAGAGACGCAGCTGCGAGGAGGGAGGACGGAGGGGTCTACGGTTCACATGTCCTGCCCTCCCGGAGCCCGGCTCCTCCACTGTCAGAAAGCAGGGGGGGGGGGGACAGAAGAGGGGAGGGGGGAATCTGGTTCCTGCCACTCTGTTCACACTAGATCCTTGTAAAATCCTTCCCTGGCCGCCAGCACACTTTCTGCCCTTCGAAGAAAGCAGCCCCAGCAGCTGGGAGCAGTGCAAGCGGACTTCCCCTCATTAATTCTGACTCACGTTGCGCAACTAGCATAGGGTTCGTAGGGTCCCAGCTATCATACTTTTGCCATTCTATCCAGTCAAGAGGCATCTATCAGATAGATCAAGTGGGTGACAGAACTTCTCCAGTTTTTGAGATTCTAGCAATTAATGCAGGCTGAACAAAACACTTATGGAATACGGCACTAAATTTATGCAAACTGATCAAAAGTGTTTTAGTATAAGTCACTCTCTGAGCTGTCTCTTAAACTTCAAGTCATTTGGATTATTGCATGCCTGTTATCTAAATGTTGGCTGTGAGTTTGTTTTCCTTTGAACATTAAGTGAAATCAAGAAGTAAAATCCAGCATGTGTGAAGCTAACGTATTTTCAACAGTGCCCCAAATGTGCAGATTTTTAGAAGGTAGTATACCTAGCTATTTGGTACATTTATGATCTTGCATGCAGTGTGTTTTAGATAGGCTTATTATTCTGCTTTGCAGGAATGCTACAAGTTGCTCATGTGTTCCTCATTTAACATATTGTATTGTATTTTATATGCTGTACTTTCAATGTTATGTACACCACAGTCATTTTGCCTGGCTGTAAATACCTCTGAAATTTGTTGTACAGTAAGATTCAATAACAAAGTTGTGTCATCTACAAGCTTCATTTTGTTTCCCTGGATTTTATAATTCTGTAGAAAGTGTTATACTAATTTGGAAATATAAATGCTCATCTTGTGTTCTTGATGTATGGGTTCTTTGATGATGAAAGAATGTACATCCTATAGTTGTCAATATAGATATAATATTCAAAATACAGTAAATGTATACTAATAAATATGCCTCTATCCTGTACATGTGAGTGTGTACACTCACTCAGCCCATAATAATAATATAATCAATATTTTACCCATCCCCCATTGTTACTAATGCAACATGGGAAGCTTTTCATGTTGCCACTGTGGTGGCATATGCTGGTTCCTCTTCAGTTTTGCTATGGAGCCCTGCCGTAAATCATGGGATGGCTCCGTAGCAAAGCTGAAGAGGAACCGGTGTATGCCCCTGAATTTTGTCTCATCTGATGAGGTCGCCATACACACATCTCAATATGTCTTCCTCATAGCAAAGTTGACATCTCCTTTTGCAATGGCCTATTGCCTCTCTTTTAGCCTGGATCATCCTCACCATTGCTGTATCTAAACCCGAGTACCATTTGGTTTTTCCGTTATTTTCTAAAGTTCCTAAGATGCCTGAATGTGGATTGACATGTTGTCTTTTGACATTTAAAAAGCAATCCATCCATTGGCAAAGACGGAGCTGTTGGAATCAACTTGTGATTATATCATGTCCTTGCCAATTGCACATACTTTTGGAAAAACCATTTACTTTTCAGTTTCTATCATTTTGCCATCAGCTTGGGAAAGCAATAACTGTTGGTGATCCAGTTTTCCTTCTCTTCCATCAGTGTTAAAGCACTTAGTAGCCAGAATCTTCTTGGGTACATCTGTTGGGGTAATTCCCCCACCACTACAGTTTTCCTATTTGAGTGCTTTGGAATATACCTAGTAGCACTTTGCACAATATATTTTCCACAGTTGCACAACTGTAGTCCAACCCAGGCACCACACACATTAAACATTCAATGATTGAGAAGATAGCTTGATGTCATTTGATGGCTGTTTTATAGTTGAAAGAAAATGTGCAACCTTCATTCTCCCAAGCATCCAGCAAGGATACTGGAGGTACACAAAGGTGAAAGATATGTCTTTTTCAAGCAGTTCAACAGCAGCTGGAGCACTTCCACCTTGGTCTGGTTGCCTGTACAGGTGGACCCAGCCACCCTTTAGTGGCAGTTGGATAACCAGGAAAAGGAGAAGCTGAGATCTCCATCTTAAATATGCAGGCGTAGCTTTGTGTTCCACCAGTGGTAGAATAGGACCTCAATCTATGTTGATCCATATGGGAATCTCATCATTGGTTGTCTCTTCTACAAGACACATTGGCACCACTGTTTTGGGTTCTAATATTAAACATTAAACTTCACTTTGGGTTACAGGAGCATTTAATTCCTATAAGTTTCAGCTCCCGGCTACCCTTCATATTCCACCATTGGCTGCAATGCTCAGTGGTTCTATGCATCCCCGAGCTTTCCCTCTCTCCTGTTATGATCCCATTGTTTCCAACTCTCTCCTCTCCATCTGTTGAACACTGTAAACAAGTGAAAAGCTCATTGATTTACATGCTCATTGACAGCTTCCAAAATTAATTGTTGGTCAAAAGGTAGAGGAATCAGCTGAGAAGTGGAGAGGATACCCTCATAGATATTGGCTGACAACCAACATCTATGACGTTTCTACTATTGCCATTCACTAGTGGAAAGGGAATGGAGGAGGAAGAAGATTCAGACAGTAGAGAAGCAGCTAATCTTGATGTGATAAAGGAGAGAAACGGGAAGGCATCCAAGTCTCTCTAGCACCAACAGCCTTGCTCTGATCTTGCAGACTCGGGGCAGCCATGTCTTCTTTGATTGCATCTATCCATCTGGAATGTGGCTGTCCTGTCTTCCTACTGCTTTCTACCTTACCGAGCATCATTCTCTTTTCTAGCGAGTCATATTTTCTCAAATTTCTACAGTTTTGGCTAAGCCATCTTGGTTTCTAGGGCAGAGTTCAGACTTCTTTAATAGTTCGAGCCCACATTTTTTGCCTCAAAAGCTCAGAATAGCCCAGGGTAACCAAATCTTCATGGCCAGAATCACACCTTGCACTTCCTTGCGCTAAGAAGGCGTCGCTGTAGTTATTCATTGGGATTTTGAACCATCAACAATGGAAAATATTTGGATGGAGTGTAAAGACAAAAGAATAACTCTTTCCATCCTCTTAAAAAAGGACCTCATATCCTAACAACAATTAGTGTAACAATACAAGAGGCATATGATGGCTGTGTGCTCCAGTGTTGAAGCATTCACCAGATCAGGTTGATGCAATCCCCTGACCAAGTCAGTATTAAGGAGGAGTGTTGTTCACTCCTCTTTAATACGGAAGGAAGGCAAGGTTGGGTTTTTGTCCAACTTTGCCATCCTCTGGAGTGAACAAAGATCCATCCTCTGAAGTACGTACTAGGTCAAGCATGGGCCACATTGTGTGCCTGGATGAGAACACGCTGGGTGGGATGGGCTCGGGAGGGGGATGGCCTGGGAGACAGCTGCGCTAGGATGGGGTGGGTCAGGGTCTGGGTCATCCATAGGTTGTTCTCCTGGCAAAAGAACGGGGTCGCTTGCCCCATCTTAATGCTGGGAAGAAAACTAGACATGTGGTGACTGCTCCAATCCTCCTCCTTGAGCCTCCTCTGATCTATGGGCTGTCCTTGCCATTATGCTGGTAT